TGCCCCGAAAAAACTAGTCAAAATCTCCATTTTGAGCCAAATTATAACCGAAAAACTCGAAAATTTTGTTCTGAGCAATTCCAGAAAATTGAGTATAACTTGGCTCGAAATCAATATTTTTGAGCTCTGAAAAGTGGAAAATGATCGGGAAGCTTTTGAGAACAAAGTCCAATTGAATAATAGCCCAGTTATCCGAGAATTGAGAAATTTAGGGTACTGATTCATTTTCAAGCTGATATTCGGATTTTACATGACTAGATGTGTCTTCAAATTCCCTTCAAATTGGTCCAAAAACTGCCCATAAATCTCTATTTTAAGCTGAGTTATGGTTAAAATACTGAAAATTTTTCTTCTGAGCAATTCCAGAAAATTGAGGGTAACTCGGCTCAAAATCAATATTTTTGAGCTCTGAAAAATGCGAAATGATTAGAAAATCATTATTTACGAGATCATGTTTCCAGAAAAAAATTGCCCAAAACTCAAAAAATCCCGAATTCATAGCTTCACGTCAACATAGAAAATGCACAAAAAAGGAGCAAAAACGGAAAAGTGCGGGGTTCCGATATTTCGAAAAAAAGAGAGTGAACGAGAAGAAACTGGGGAAGGAATATGATGAATATGAAGATGGGGGCAGAAGAGAAGGAGTGACGTCAAGGGGACAAGCATATTCTAGAAAAAAAGAAAGAAAAGAAGCCATTTTATTCGGATTTGAATGGGCTTTCAATGGGATAAAGGAGGGGAAAGGACAAGGGGATTATGTGGTTTTTAGAAAAATTTGGGAAAATATTGACTGAAGATAAAAACTACAATGAAAACCACTCAAATTTTCTGATCTTGAAAATTTTTAGGCCAAACTTTCGAAAAATCGTTAAAAAAAATAATTTTTCCTGAGTTTAGAGATTCGGGCCCAGAAATTTTGGGAATATAATTTTTTTTTGAAAAAATTTCACTGGAAATCTGAATATTTGGCACAGGAAAATTCAGAAATGGATTGTCAAAAAATCAGATTTTCTGAGTTTTGGTCCCAATTCTGAATTTTCGAGCCAAATTTTCAAAATTTCAAACAAAAAAATTTTTTTTTCGGAAATTTGAATTTTTATATGAATAGATGCGCCTTCAAATTCCCTACATTTCGGTCCAGAAACCAAGTCGAAATCCCCATTTTGAGCCGAGTTATGATCGAAATACTGAAAAATTTTATTCTGAGCAATTTCACAAAATTAAGCATAACTCGGCTCAAAATCAATATTTTCGAACTCTGCAAAGCTTTTTTTGTTGATTACACTCCCAGAAGTTGCTCCTCAATTTTACGAAACTGGAATTTTCAGAAAAAAAAATCCCCAAACCCCAAAAATCTCGCCCCAGAACAATATATCTTCCTCCGATGTTTACTACCCCCGAACTCGTTAAAACTCTTTCTTGTGACTTCTACCCTACTTCAAAATGATCAAAATAAGTTCAAATTACTCTCTTCTTTCTCTACGTCTCTCATTTCTATGAACTCTCTCACTGATCTCTGTTCGATAACCCCCTTCGCTAGAATCCAGAGAGAGAGAGGGTGTAATAATCAGTTGCGTACTATAGACAAGACGAGGGGATGAAAATGAATGGATAATGTTTCCGATGGGATGGTGGAAGAGGGTTGATGGACCAGGTGATATTGGAGACAGATGATCAATTATCAGTAGGGAAGAGATCTTTGGGACACTGATTTTTATCAGTTTTATTAGAACGGCATGCAGTTCTAATGAGAGTTAAGCAGGAGTTTTTGAAAATTGAAAAAAAGTGATAGAGAAAACTGATGATCAATTATCGAGGATATCTTTTGGATATTTTTAGACACAGATTTTTATCAGTTCTTATGGTCGTTTAAAAGTTTTATGAGATTTCGCAAATTTCGAAAAACATCTCTGCGCGCATCCGGCGCATTCGCAGGTTCATCAATCAACGGTGTTGATGTCGCGCGCCGCAGGCGTACTTGCAGTCATGAATCGATCAAGTTTCGATATAGAAAAAACGAGAATTCGTAGATCAAAAAATTCCCTATCGATTGATATAAATTTCATATAGCGTTGCATCAGAAAAAATTGGCCAAAACTGAAAATCCCGGTATTTTGGGATCGAAAATTGAATTTCTTGATTTTGGACCTATAGGAGTGAGAAAAAGTGGCGTCTTTGTGGCGTTCATAAACAGTGCTAGAATGCGCGCCGAAAGAGTACCGTTGCGTATATCAAAATAAACTGCTTTGCGTAACGAGACCTTTGAGTTATTTTGGCCTGCGTGACGAGGCCCATGGCGCCTTTAAAATGAATCATTTTTCTCGTGAAAACACTATGATAGAGCCGAAATTCGAGCCGTTTTTTGACCAGAAGAATTCAATTTCTGAAAAATCTGGAGCACTCAAAACCAAAGTCGTAGATCAAAAAATTCCCTATCAATTGGTATAATTAACATTAATATAACTAGAGAGAAATTTGTGGAAAAAATCAAAAATCGGAAAAAATTTGATTTATCCTATTTTCAGGCCGCATTTTCAGAAACATTCCCATATGAAATTTATATCAATCGATAAAAAAATTTTTTGGTCTACATCTCTGCTTTTTAAAATTCCGAACTTTTTTTCAAACTACAGTAAGAATATGCGCTTTACGGTAGCGTTTTACTGATACAAACCTATATAATATTTACACCAATCGATAGGAAAATTAATTCTCTATTGATTGGTGTGAATATCGTATAGGGCTGCAACAGAAAATGTGGGTCAAAAAGTCAAAAACTGAAAAATTCAACTTTTCAGTGATAAATTTTGGATTTTAAGACTTTTTGCTTAGATTTTCTGATTAAACCCAATATGGAATTTATAACTGAGGTTTTCAAAAAATAATTCCTGATTCTAACAATGAGGAGCCGCCCCAAAGAAATTCTATAAGAAAAAAAACAACAACAAGAATCCAGTAACATTATCCGTCGTAACCCAACACGAGAATCCGAACACAACAATGTCATCAAAACGTGCAATTTTCCCCCTCTCTTCTCTTCCTCCTCGGTTGAAATCATCGGGAAAACCGAATGTGACAAGTTGAAATGTGTGTCTCAGTTTTATGTGTACTCGATGATACGGGTGGGGTGGTGAGTTAGCGGGAAGGTTTTTGGCAGCCTCCCCGGGTGGAGGGGCAAGTTTTAGTGTGCCTCTAATAGAAAGGCATGTTTTATTTCGAAAAATTTTCTAAATTCTAAAAAATAGTTATTAATCCCCATCACAATTATAATCGACATGCACGAAACAGCGTTCGACAAAGTCCAATTTTTGAATGTTTTTCTCCAAATCATGGGAAATGTCGTGGGTGATCTAAAACTGATGATTTTTCAAGGTTCTTCGGGGAAAAAGTACCTTCAACGGAAGTTTTTCATCTAGCACAATATGCAATTCAACCTGAGCATTCAAGCCAGTGTAGTAGATCATGGAGTGATCGATGTATCTGGAATTCGGATTTGTAGATCAAAAAATTCTCGATCGATTGGTGTAAGTTTCATTTAGATTAGTTGGTCAAAAACTGAAAAATATCGGAGTTTAGGTCCAAAACTTGAATTTTTCGATTTTTGTTTTACATTTTCTTAAACAATCCTGTATGAAATTTATACCAATCGATAGGGAATTTTTTGATCTACAGTTCAGTATCGTACCACTTCAAAGATGCAAAAAAATCAGCCAGCTAGGATCGAAAAACTGAAGGAATTTTCAGCTCAATTAAAAAAAAATTTCAGCTCAATTCATCGAAAAATAATTTTTTCTCGAAAAATGAGCTTTCCTTTCGAAAAAAGAGCTTTCAATTCGAAAACTGAGCTTATACTTCAAAAAATGAGCTTTTATCTCGGTAAGTAAGCTTTTTTTTTTTAGAAAAATGAGCTTTCATTTCGAAAAATGAGCTTTTATTTCAAAAAAAAAGAGCTTTTTTCCGAAAAATGAGCTTTCATTTCGAAAAATGAACTTTTATTTCGAAAAAAAAAGAGCTTTTCTTACGAAAAATGAGTTTTTCTTTAGAAAAAAAACTTAAAGAGTTTATTTCGAAAAAAAGTTTTTCCGAAAAATTGAGCCTTCATTCAGAAAAATGAGCTTTTATTTCGAAAAATGAGCTTGACGATTGAATTCTGCATCAATTGGTATGAATACCATATAGGGTTGTTACAGAAAACGAACGTCAAAAATCTGAAAATCCCACTTTTGGCCCCCAAATTTCTAGTTTTTGACCTTTTTTCTGAAACAAACCAACATGAAATTTATACCAATCGATAGAAAATTTTTTGATCTACAATCGTAAAAAAACACCTAGTTAAACTCACCTAATCCTCTTATCATGCTTCAACGTGATATTCAGAATCCTTGCCATCTGATCTCTCTCGGCACTGATTCCCACCAGCTGTGGAATATTCTCAATAACATGTCGACACCACGAAAAAGCAATCCAGGAGCACACACAAATCGCTCCAATCGGATCAGCGAATCTCCATACATAATCTCCCAAGTATCCACAAATTAGTGCCAAACTTCGGGTCATCAGATCGTTCCTCAGATCCATTGCAATCACAAGACTCGATGAAGACGCTCTCTTATAACACAACCACATAATAACCGCCTTGATTACGGTCTGCACCACCACAATCGCTATTGTCGAATTCGTCATTTTCGGATCTACCGTATCGTTCACAATAGAGTTTATCGATTGCATTATCATTGAGACATTCGCGAATGCCATGATTACGGAGCAAAGGATCACTCCGATGAGCTCTAGGCGATCCCTGCCACGTGGATATTTTTGAGCGTCGGTTTTGCTGATGGCTGATAGGCATATATTCATCACGAAACTGCATGCAATGTCCATGGAGGAGTCAACGAAGGTACTGGAAAAATTGGGAGGAGTTAGGGGCCAGAGGAGGGTTTTTCTTTGCTTAGACGCTCTAGCACCCGAAAAAAAGTTCTAGAAAAAAAGCAAAACAGGATTGACCCCACCCGGAATTGAACCTGAGGACAAAAATTTATAAGCAAGAGCGCTATCCACTACGCCATGGGTTCAACAGCCAAATTAGAGGGAGAGGGCCTACAGGTTGCGGCGGACCCTCTTTTTCTAACAAACGGAGGGAGCCGCATAGAAAAAAAAAGAAAAAAGTAGAATTTATCATTAGAGCGCGTTTACTGACTTTTTGAATTTTCAGCTTCAGCCATCAACTCCCCCCCCCCCTCCCTCGTCCTCGATCACCGCGCGCTCCTGTATGCCCTCAGTCTTACTTCTGTCTTTGCACCGCATGGACTAGTGGTTAACGCTATTGTCTTTGAATTTTGCGTCCCGGGTTCGATTCCACGAGGGCTCAAATCTTTTTACCTTTTTCTTAGAAGCTTAGGAACATCGGTTAGAACTATTTTAGACCGCTTTAAGTCGCTATACCCTTTTTGCTCTCCGAATTCACTTTGTGAGCATCAAACCTTTTCCTGTTATCTCGATACAGACAAATTCTTTATCAGTATTTACGTCAATATAAAAATATTTGACGTCTGTTAAACCCTAGGTCACATGGGTGAACGTTTGTTGTCTTGAACTCTCAATTCGCCCACACTTTTTTGATTTTTTTGAAAATTAAAAAAAAATGTCAGCAAAAAATTGAACAGACTAACCTCATGATGGATAGTGATCCAGAAATGATAGAAGCCACCAAATTACCTATCAAACTTCCGATGTTCAATGCAAATGTTGCCTGGGCTAACCATCGATCCTCGTACCGTTCGTCTTCTTCCTGGAAAATTTTTTATTTCTGTTTTCGTGGTGGGACCCGAAAATCAAAATTTTTTGGAACCTTGTCATGATTATACTCTTCTGAACCGCCTGAAAATGCTGATTCCAATGGTGCTGTTATTATTGAAATCGGGGCAAAACTGACTGAGACACGAGAGGTTTTCGGTTTTCGTGATGAGACCCAAAATTCCAAAAAAAAATTTTTATTGAAACCTAGTCATGATTATACTTTTCTGAACCGCCTTGGAATGCTGATTTTAATAGTAAAATTTTCATGAGAGCCTAATCAATATTAAACGAGATACGGTAGTTTTTGGGTTTTCGTGGTAGGACCGAGAATCCCAAAAAAAAATTTTTATTGAAACCCAGTCATGATTATACTTTTCTGAACCGCCTTGAAATGCTGATTTCGATGATAGCATTTTCCTAAGCATTGGAGCAAAACTGACCGAGATACGGCTGTTTTTGTATTTTCGTGTTGGGACCCAAGCGTACCTCTGGCTTGTGCAATGGTTTCTGAATAGTCTCCTGATCCTCCTCAAATTTCTTCAACAATTCTTTCTGCTGCTCATAAAACTCGTCGATTTTCTTCTGGACATCAGGGGCAAGGACCTTTTTCTCAACGCTTTTTTCGGTGGTTCCATTAGATTTTTCTTCATTTTTTCGTTTTCGTGGGGTCATTTTTTATTGGAGGGTTTTCTGAAAGTGAAACGTTTTTTTATTAAAGAAATATATTTCAAGTATCAAAAATTGCTCCAGATTGCTACAAAGCTCCAAATTGCTCAGAATTAAAGAAAAAATTCCAAAACTAAATATTTCTAACAGTATTAATACAAAATTAAAAAAAAAAATACAATTCAAAAGAAAAATAAGAATGGAAGGAGTCACAATGCTGCTGATGCTGCCGAAAAATAGACCTGATAAGGTGGTGCACTATTAACTGACGACGCAGGGGGAGGGAATTAAAAGATTATTTTTTTAAGACGGAGAAGGAGAGCATAAACTAGAAAAGGACTACTGGGCATACATCAGGAGCAGGTTGAGAATAATTTTTTGATCTACCAACCGATACGAGAAACGGAGAGAAAGAGACTGTCTGCGTGTCTGCCGTCTCCCTCCTAACCAACTTTGAAGCCGTATATCTTGAAAACTGGAAGAGCTAGAGAAATGGTTCAAGAGATAATTATGTGTAAAATTTCATGTAGGTTAACTTTGTAGTTAACGAATTTTCGATAGAAATTTTAGTTTTTGAGATAAATTTTTTCTGAATTTTTTAAACCCTAATTTTAATTTTCTCCAGTTTTTTCGCCAAACTTTTTTTGGAAAATTTTTTGATCTACCAGTCAAATTTTTTTCCTGAAATTTTTCAAGTTCCCCAGCTCCCAACTGCCAAATTTCTCCAACCACCCACCCGTTTTTTGTCCGATTTCCAAAAAAAAAAATTATCACGTGAACCCGTAAAACTCTCTATCTCGCGGATAACCTGCCACCTCGTTGGAAATGAGAAAAGACTCCAATTTGACGTTTCGACGGGAAACAGTACGAAAAAGCGAGAGACGCAGACAAATATTTGCCTAAGCGGCGCCAAAAAGCTGTCAAGAAATCTCTTGCTCACCGGCTCGGGGGAGCCGGGTGATTGATATCTCGGAAAAGTGAAATTGAGCATATACCATTCATTTCATATTATACTTTTATTTCGAAAAGGTCGCTGCTCTCGGCGGTTACTGTAGTGGGTTACTGTAGCCAAGGCAAGCTGGCTACTGTAGTAAAATGAATCGGATTCGAGCGGCGCTGCCGTGGAGAAAGAAGTGAGTTTTTTTTTCACATTTTTTGATTTTTTAGTCTGCAATTTTTGCAAAATTTAGAATATTTTGGCAGATTTTCCTATATTTCAAAGGAAAATTGCAAAATTAGACATGTAAAAAAGTATTGAGACCCTCGGGAATCGAACTTGGGTCTCTCAGATTCATAGACATCTGTTTTAGCCACTAGGCCACGTGTGAAATCCTCGGAAAGCGCCAAAAACGGCGGATGCGCGTGTGGTGTAGTGGTAGTGGGCGCGTTTAGGAATCCGAAGGAACATTGGGAGGAAAAGTTCAAACCCTGAATTCAAATATAGGTTTTTTTCATGTCTAAAATTCGATATTAGCAGTGAAAAAGTCCCAAAATAGACCTGGAACCTAGTTTTCTAGAGTTTTTGGGCCTTAAAACCACTTGTTTCAGAACCTACTACGGTGACTCAGACTCCACAGGTTACTGTAGCTCATCTGACGTCTCCAAGGCTCTCTCGGACTCTCAGTTTATCCTCAGACCGAATACAGCTCTGCTAAGCTCATCATACTCAAATGGCACTAACTATTACGCGGTAAGTTGAATTTTCGAGAGAAAAATTTTTCAAAATTTGAAAAATTTCAGCTCGACTACACAGAAAATTCTCGAAAAAGAGACAAGGGGAGCACCATCACTTCCAGGTCATCTACTATTAGTTCGACAACTTTTAAGAGTCATTCTATGGTGAGAACTTTATGAATTTTGGTAGATCAAAAATTGTTTCTTTAGGGGAAGTCCAACAAAAATATATTTTTCAGTGTTCCGCATAGATTTTTTGTAACAAACCGATATGAAATTTATACCAATCGATGGAGAATTTTTTGATCTACAAATTTCAATTCTGAAAAATTCCAAATTTTTGAAAACCAGCCGTTGAGGTTTTGAGAAAGCAGAAAAAACCGGTTCAATTTTTTTCAAAGAAAAATACTTGCCGGTACCCTGACGCCAATTTCTAGCCTCCCAAAAAATAAAACAAAAAAAAATTACCCCTAGGGGGATCGAACCCGGATGTCCAAAATTCGAAACCAACAGTGCTAGCAACTAGGCCACTATAAACAGGAGGACAGCTCACGATTTACGTCCCGAGCTTCTCAAAAAAAATAACAAAAAAATTGACCTTATGTGGACTCGAACCCGCATACCCAAAATTCAAAACCAAGCCCTCTACCACTACACCACACCCGCTTACTTGCAGAACCTCCCCGCCGACGACGAGGGCAGTGGCGAACTCGAAGACGACGAAGCGAGCACAATCCGTGCCAACTCTGTCCGTCAAGTGCCAATGATGCCCAAATTAACCTCCATCAAACATCTGATGACCACATCATCAGATGCATCCTCCTCCAGTGAAGTACTTCAAGAGGAGATCGAAGACGACACGGCGACTTTGGAGGAGGTTTCAACGATGGAATATTCAGATGAAGACGATGATATCACGCTGGATATAGTGCCACGAAGGAAGGAATACAGGAATTCTAGCTTCAGGTCATTCCCATTTTCCTATCAGTTAATGGAGAGTGAAATGGATCGGTTATTTGATATGATGCAGGTGGATGAGCAGTTACCTAGCACCTCTTCAACCTCCAATCATTCTGGATCTTGCTCAAATCGAAAAAAACGACTTCTGATTCGAGAACCCACCTCTACAATATACTACCATGATATCTCATCCTCGGAAGCCCCGCCCCCTCCACCTAGGCCCAGTCTAGCCAGAACGGAAAGTGTTCCCAGGTCGATTTTAAAAAATAACACATCGTCATTTGCGATTTATGAAGAGATTTATGGGGACCACCTGACTCCGCCCCCGACCGACATAAGGCCCCAACTACCCGATAGACCCATTATGGCATTTCAGCAGTTTCCGCCGTGCACCACGTTTCAGCCAAGGTTGCCACAGAGGTTTGGTTTTTTTTCTTTTGAAGGATGGGGATGTTTGCAGACTCGGCATTCGATTTTACGAAAGCATTGTTGTTTTCAGAAAGTTAGGGGCGTGTCCTAGCCAAAAAGAGTGAGTTTAGGTAAAAAATTCGTTTTTTCGATTTTCGGCCTAGTTTTTCTCAGACAATCCTATGTGATATTTATACCAATCGATAGAGAATTTTTTGATCTATTAGTTTAGACAAAAAAGTCAATAAGAAAAATTGAATATATTGGTTGGCACTAACCTTACATGGGGTCCTTTCAGAAAATTTAAGTCAAAAACTTGAAAAAACTTTTTAAAAATTTAAAATTTTGGAGCCAATTCTTTAAAAGCTTCTTGTTTGGAAAAATCAAAAAAGTCGATTGAGAATATCCACAAACTTGAAAAAAGTCCAAAAGTAACTGATCATTGAAGGGCCAGCAGATAGAGGGCACTGTCTGACAGATTCAGTTGCACCTGCCCCCATTCTCCCGCCCATGTCACTTCCCGCGTTATTTTTTGACCTATCGATTTATATATTGATCCTTTTGTTTT